TTCAAATTCTTGAAGATTTCTAAGGGAATAGACATATAATGCAGTGTTAAAAAATATAATAGGCTTAATATTAACATGTAATTAATTCAAAAATACAATAAAAATAATTTGTTAACGTTATAATCATTAAAATCAAAAACGTTGCACGTGTTGCATGTTTAAATTAATTATTCAGTTAACTAGATTCTTCACTAAACATAACACAACCACATATATTATAAGTACAATAATAGCCTAACGGTAATTAGGCCTACCTGTATACAGTTTCATTTTGTGAAAATTCTTAATAATCTGCTATTTTGTGTGTGTGTGTGCTTGACATGAACTGAAACTGCCTAAGTTCAAATTCTTGAATTTATAATATATAATGCACAATTCTTATAGTTTAATCGTTCCGTGTCTCGACAGTATTTTAAGTAAGTAACTTCATAATTTAGATTAGGCCCTATAGTTTACAAATTCGGGAACTTCTATTGTTACGCAAAATATAACATTCTTTTCAAAGTCAATAATCGGTTTATATTCGAACATGTTGATTATTACAGTATTTTTCTCCAGAATCTAAAACTAGTTACGTTGTAAGTTTCAAATTATGACAAATATTCAATGAAAACTAAGCCTAAGGTCTAAGTATTTTTAACCCTTAATGCTACTGGTTTGGTATACGATAAAGAAGAATTTCATAAATGCGATGTTTTTATTATTTTGAGATGTAGCTGTTGTGATATTACATCATTGTAGGATTGATAATAATTTTAATCGCATTTTTCCTTACTTTCTCTATACAGGTGTTAAGTAAGAAGAGTGTATGACACCTGTACACTGTTAATTAAGATTTACGTGAACGGTTAAGGCCTCCAGAATCTAAACACTGGGCCATTCAAGTTAGGCTCAATACAATATAATTATTTAGTTGATATTCAGGATTAATATGGTTTGAACTTCGCGGTAATTTTAAATTATACGCTTATCTTCTGAAAACTTGAAGTTCCTCGTAAATATAAAATATATATAACTGATTTAACTTTATTCGCAGAAACAGTTGTATATTAAAGGTAAAACAACTATCACTGTAACAATGACATTTTTAATGCCATGATGCCATTCGGCGTTTAATTTACATTAGTTAGTTGGTCTCAATAAATTAGGATGTTCTTCAACTGTTACGTATCTGCTCGTTTGTTAATTTTCGGTATAAATTCTTTCCGAGGAACTTCGGTGAAACAAATCCTTTCTTAATTAAAACTAGTTTATTCGTTCTCGATACAACTCTGCAATACACAGAATTTCCACAGTCACTTTAAACTTAACGACCTTTATAACATACACTATAAATCACAGTGATTCACACACTTTACTTACGGTGCCTACTGTTCGCTTGACTCAATTATCTCTATCTTCAATCTATCTGCATATCTCTGCAATCTATCTGTCTATATCGCTGGCTTTCTTTGCCAGGCTTATATACTAAAAAACACTGGGACATTCGCGGGGTTCCCGGATAATTCTAGAAACTCCAGTGCGAATGCTCCCAGCGTCACGCGACTTCCGCTGTCGTAACACAACTTTTAGCTTCTTTGGTATTTTACATATTAACTGTTTTTAAATGCAATTACGTCTATTTATCTAAACTCTACAACAGCTATATTTTTTAAGCTTCAAGCTCAGTTATTAAAATCCTGATATGTTTTGTATCCATTTTAACAACAGTATATTTGGAATGTGGAGAAATCGTGTTGTTATAAACTAACTATTCTTAAAAGCTAATAATATATTTATATACTAGATACATGAATATATCTAAAGTTCAAATATTATATTTTAAATTAAATTATACAAATTATTGGTCTTAAAAATATTTTTATAAGATAGATACATCTGTTTTTATGCAGTGGCTGTAGCAATTCCCATAAGTAAACCAAGTCAATCTGTCACATAATAAAACGTATTCACGCTTTGTATAGAATTTCTGATGTAAAAGTTCAATTAAATTGCCCATTTTTCATTAAATATTTTGTCTTCATGACTTATGTAAGTTCATAATTTTAATAAATCTCTACAAGATATGTAGAGTATTATTAATATTTTTAACAACAATGCAGATGTCACAACAGAACCATGATGACATAGTTTGTCAAGAAAAACATACGGCCGATAATTCTGTAAATTGACAGTCTCTTATGGAATATTGACTATTGTTGACTACCATTATGATCAATAAAAGTCTTCAAAAAATTGCATTCCAAGAGAGAGAAGAAGTACAAAAACTACCAGATACTGTATCATACATACATCAGAGATCTTCGTTGTTAAAAAGTCTTGCTGTGAAAACAAACAAAAGGTATAATATATTACATTAACAAAATGTAAATATTTTGCTTGAGCTGCAAAACTTCGTGTTTTGACAGGTAAAAAGGAGTGATGCAAATATTACAATTATATATATATATATTATGATGAATAAAAATACTGCGAAATTTAATGTTAAAGAAGCATAATTTCTCGTACAAACTTTCAATTCTACTCCTTAGGTTTATTGTCTTAGCTTGAAATTGTATAATTTCCTAGTATCAAGATCATAATGTTTTAAATTGTGAACTACAATTACAATAAAGACTTTAAAGATAATATAATTTCTTCCCTTTTGGCAAAAAAAGGAAAATGTAGAGAAATCACTTTATACCTAAGATAGAAATGATAAGTTCAAGACTTTTTGAAGCAATGATAATGTTTCACGATCATTTTGATATTCCAAATTTATTTATATTATTATAAGTATTTTATTTTCCAAATATGTATAATCTTTGTCTTGAAAATCCTCAAGGTTTACTTCAGCTATAAAATGTATAAGCTGATTTTGTTAGTTGATTTAAACGTAACAACATATCTCTGAGTCAAACTGACTAATTGTGTAATTTTTGATAATAAATTGGGTCCACACAAGATCCGGAAATCCGGGAAACTTGGAATGAATTATAGAGCTTGTTCCGTGAAATCATTTACTGTGGCATATCGATGGATATAATGGTCATGGTGGATTTATATCTACACAGGGTTAACTACTCTCACCACTCTTGTGCTTGTTTTTGGCCGTTTAGCATTTTTATTAGCACCAACGGAAATTCTTCTCAGCCATTTTTTTAAGGCTTGCTTTCTTTGCAATTGATTTCCCTTTAGATCGCATCCACATCTGCTGCACTGGTGGCACGTAGAGCATACTAGTACCTAACACTTGTAAGTGAGTTTTGAATCTGACATTTCTCCTCCGAGATACACGTAACCTTGACAGAAAATCTACTGGTCGTCCTTACAATTCCCGATTATTACTGGCTTCGCAAGAATCTCTATAGATATTGTATTACAATTACATCGTGACCTCAGACAAAGTTTAGTGAAAATTTTCTTCATACGCCAAAAAAGAAATTCATTGTATCTCCTCCAGTTCTTTTTAGTTTTAGAGTTGACGAACGAACACCGTTGGATTCCTCATACGATGGTACACATTACGTAAATTTGCAAGAGTTTAGAAAATACCGGAAGTGAAATACCTTACGAGGTTTGGTTGATTCTTAGATTCGTTGTTAATTTGTTGAGATATAATAACAATTTTGAAATAGAATAATCATAAGTATAAACAAATTTCTTATTGGATTCATTCGATGATTTACATATTTTTATATCATCCCTCTTTAGTTTAAAACTTAAATTTTGTAATTTTCGCTCTGGGCCTTAAAGGCATTTCCACCCAATAGTTTGATAATTCTGTTAATTTACTTCCCCAAAATAAAAGTTAAAAACTGTCATCCCTAGTTTTGAAGTGATATGTTGGAGTGGAAACAACTAGTCAAAATCACCTACCACCAACTATTGGGCTACTCTTTACTAACTATTAGTGGGATTAATTGAACATTATGATGCTCCCAAGGCTTAAAAGGTGGGCATGTTCTATGACGGGATTCGACCCCATAACCCGCAGATTGAAAGTCAAGTGCCCTAACGGCCAACACATGCCAACGCTAATGAAGAGAATTCGATAATTAAAGACAAAATAAAATAAATAATCTTATTAAATATCCATGGTTAGGTGATGATGCACTGCTTACTTTTAAGATTGAAAATATCGCACTTTTATGTCGTTCTAAATTGTTTAGTTCGCAGAAAATGTTTTGTTTTCAATCGCCAATTTATTTTACTTTCTAACTCGATGTTTTCTTTATAAAAAAATTCACCAATTTTTAACATTACTATCTGGTATCTCCGTCAGGGTAAGGATTAACCAATTTTATAACAAACTGAGAATTATGTTAGAAAAATGGTTAACCAGTTCTATAAATAGTTCATTAGAGGAAAACGGTTGCTATTTCATATCAATTGTCTGATACCTCTCTTGGAAAATGTTTGTTTGTTATGAATTTCGCGCAAAACTACACGAAGGCTATATACGATAGCCTGCCCTAATTTAGCAGTGAAAGACTAGAGGGAAGGCAGCTAGTCATCACCACCGCCAACTCTTGGGCTACTCTTTTACTAACGAATAGTGGGATTAAAAGTCACACTATAACGTCGCCACGGCTCAAAGGCCGAGTATGGTTGGTGGGACGGGTATTTGAGGGAAGGAAGCTAGTCAACACCATCCACCGCAGACTCATGGACTACTTTTTACTCTTTAGGTGACGAGATTCGATCCCGCGACCCGTAGATTACGACTCGAGTTTACTAACCATCAGTCTATGTCAGAATATTAGAGAAAGGACTACTCAATTTAATAATAAACTGTCTGAAAGCTGCGTTAAAAAGTGTTAACCAATTTTTAACAACTTGTTTGAGAGCTTTGACCGTCACATTATAACACCCCTACGGCTTAAATGGCGAACAAGCGACCCTCAGGTTGCGAGTCAAGCGCCCTAACCACCTGGTCATGCCGGGCCGTTAATATAAGGAGATGACAAATAAATGTTTTCGTCCTTCATTTAACTAGAAATGAAGAATTTTTTCTCAATATGGACTTGCTTGGGAGAAAGACGGAAAAAACTGTAAACGAAAGATTACGGAGTCTATCAAGGATACTTTCTGATGACGCCGAAGGTAAGTTAGTTTAGTATTTGGAAAGGTTTTAAAAGGCTCACTCGTGATCTTATATTTTTCAGTTTTCTCAACTCGTATCATATCAGTAAGACTGCATATCCCTTCTCTCCTCCTCCTCCCCCCCCCAAAAAAAAGTTGAAAGATGATATGTCTTAGATAAATCGAACAATAAAACAGCATTTTTATGATATAAACCTATAAGAACATGTTATCTAGCGCAAACAAGAAATGTGTCTTTTCTAAAGGAAATTTTCATTTTTAAAGTTTTCAGTAGATAGTAAATATTAAGGTTACTATGAACGAGCGCAGTCCTTATTTCCAAAGTTTTATTGAATTGATCATGAGGCATGCTGACCACAGTATTAAAAAAGTAAAGTGTGAAAAGGAAACTGGGCAACGAATTATTTACTCATTTGAATTATGAAACTATCATAAACTTTTGAACATGTTATAAATAAATAATTTTAAAATCTATATTATATTCTACTTATCGTTTGAATAAGGCATTGAATGATATATATGTATGACATAAACACCTCAGATTTTTAAGTTTGGTAGTGTATAACCTAAAATAATGTGCGAATACTTGAAGACTACGCTATCTATTTATGATACATGGCGTCTGTGAACAAAACTTTCTTAGAAAACGTGGTTTCTCCGATCAAAACTACATAACTATTACTTTCTTGTCTGACACATGATATTTCTGAACGAAGCTTTTAAACTGCAGTTCTCTTGCAGGGCATGTGGTGTCTCTGATAAAAATGTCATTACTGCGGCTTTCGTACAGGACATCTGACAATTATGGTTAAAATGTCATAACTGTAGTTCTCTTGCAGGGCATGTGGTGTCTCTGATAAAAAATGTCATAACTGTAGTTCTCTTGCAAGGCATGTGGTGTCTCTGATAAAAATGTCATAACTGCGGCTTTCGTACAGGACACCTGACAATTATGGTCAAAATGTCATAAATGTAGTTCTCTTGCAGGACACGGGGTATTTTTGGACAACAAATCTTTGTAGCTATAGCTCTTCTGCAGAACATATTCTATATCTGTACCAAACTTACTAACTGTAGTTCTGTTGCAGGACACATTGAATCTTTGATCAAAGCTTTCTAACTGTAGTGCAGGACATCTGATATCTGAACAACGTTTTTTTATCAATAGTATATAGCAGAGCATGTTGTATCTTTAAATAACTCTTTATAGTTATATTTTCCAGATTTTTTTTCAAGTACGTTATCGTGGTATGAGTATTTTTATTCTACGGCCTTCATTTATGAAATCTTATATCAAGATATATGAGATACACAATATTCCAAATACATTAAAGTAATTCCAATTCTTCAAAACGTTAACACTAAAACCTAAAAGCACCAGTGTACCATTTAAAAACTTGTGCTTGACACTTTAAAAACAATTGAGCTAACGTAGAGTGTTGTAGTTAAGGGCGCGTTCAAGCTTCGAACAAAATCGGACAGAAATAAGAAAAGTTTGACAGCATTAACATAGCTCAACCAAAGCAACGCCGATTATAAAAGGTAGGCCTAATTGTTGCGAGAAACAAGTAGCCACAATATTTTTCTTTACTTACATTTGTACACGCCCTCGATTTTTATTACCATTGTATCAGGTGCAACGATAGGTGTTCACCTACAAGCATGTTTAATAATTTATTTAAAATTTACATACGTTTTGTTACATTTCTTTCATTTGTAAATCTTGGCTGAAAGAGTGGCCATCTTTTTTCTACCTCTTTTTGTCTATAACAAAGTAAAGGTAAAAGACAGTAAAACAGAAGGCTTCTACCGATAAAAGCAGATAAAAAAAAACATCCTAAAACTATTTAATAGATTATCTTGAACACCGTATTTCTGAATAGTAATAACTTTGATTATCTGATCTATTTCGTAGCTTTAAAGAAAAAAAAAAGATAAGTTATCCATAATTTTATTAGACATTTCTAAGCAGCAGTTTAAGAGTATATAGTCAGAGTTCACTTTGATGCGATATTAGTACTTACAACTGAACGTTGTAATGATTTTATTTTACAGTTTTTACTTTATGTTTTTTTTACAGCTACAGAAAAATTACTTTCTAATTTTGAAGACCATTTGGTGAGTAATTGTAGAGAAGAGAATACTAACTAATTATCTGAAAATCGTTTGCCAATACAGGTACAGTAATGTTATAAACAGCAAGGATAAGATAGTTATGTACATAACAGGTTTATAAGCTGCTTCTTGAAGTATAAACTTTTCTTTTAGGTAATCTATTCATCTATCTAAAGTCGTTATTTTAAGCCTTGTTTAATATGCATGGAAAATGTTTGATAAAAAACAAACAGGTAAATAAGTATACAGAACAAATAATGGCACCGGAATTTTTGTGGCCCTGATTATAATGAAGTCTCTTAAAATCTTAGTTGAATTTTATAGGAAACACATAAAGGGCATGCTAAAAATGTAGTGAAATAATAAAAAACAACAACTCTATAATGCATTAAAAATACAAAATTGAAAGTTTGGGGAAGTCCACTCGTATAGTGCACCCTTTGTCTCCCCCACCAGCCACATTATGGATATAGTTTAACAAGGAATTTATCTTATTAACGTTGGTAAGTTTATTGTGTTACTGTAAATAGCTATTACGTAAGCGATTCATTTCTGGATATTTGAAGAACAAGTTGAAAATTATAAAGAACAAGAACATAATAGATTAAAATATAAAGTTGATTTTATTGCTGCTCTCTAGACTTATTTATAATATTCACGTGTTTGTGTTCCAAGGACTCTCAGAGCTCAGACCATCTGCTTCTTTTGAAGCAAGAACTGCAGAGTCGTTTCTTAAATCGGGAAAAAATGATTTGTGAAGCGGAAGATTATCTACAAAAAATTGAGGCTTTACGAACAAGCGAGGTAAAAAGTGTGTGTGTGAGGATGTGTATGAATATATGTCTATTTTTGTATAATTTGATGTAAACGGAGAACATAGAAATCAACTTAGCTATGAAGAACTGAAATGTATGAAATTGTCCTTAACACTTAAAAAATGCGTTAATAACTCACTTGACTTTTTTGCGTTTGTCAAATTTGACAATTTCAACTTAAGCTGGTTTAAGTGACAGCCAATCTAACGAACTTTCTTGTTGTCACTGATAATTCTGCATTCTCGGAGTTCGAAATTAGTGATTGCCTTTGGGTAGCTTTGCGCGAAAATTCTTACATTAATTTATTTTAAACTGAGAAACTAGGAAGAAGGTAGCTAGTCAACAGCACACACTGCTAATTCTTGAGATACTCTCTTCTGACCGAATAGTGAGACTTGACCGTCACTTTTATAACGCACCTTCGGCCCTAAAGTGCAGAGTGTATTGTTTTTTTTTTTGGTCACAATAAGCCATACGTAGCCTAACGTATATAAAAGCACATTTTTGATTTTATTGCAATGTGGAAAATTTCACGCTTTGCTTTAATATGTACTTATTTATTGTTTCTGTGACCGTACTTTGTGGGACATATCAGCCATACTACGATAAAAAAAAAGAACTTTATTTCCTCTTTGTGAAGACCAATATTTTTTTGCACCATACTGAGCACTACATTTTGGACTTCTAGCCAATCCAAAAGAAAACTTGCTTGTATCTTAAAAGTTCGAATTATCAGTTACGTTAATCAAATCAATCTTCCTGATACGTCGAATTTGCACATTAGTTGTTTTTGGGGTTTCATATAGCTTCTCTTTTTCTGTACTTTCCTTCTACCCATTCCTTAAGTCCCAATAGACTTTTGGCCAAAATACGTGCCGATATATAACCAAACAAACAAAAACACCCGTTACCAAAACTGACTTTTTTATATGTTGTGCTTGTACAAGTAACAGTAATAGTGCCGTAACTGGGCAACAAAGCAGCTGCTTTTTCAAACTAAAAATTGGTTTACATTCAGGAAGTATATATTATGATATTATTAATTTTAATTTGGGAAAACTGTGTACAGCGCAGTTAACCACCTTTTCAAAGTCGTACAAACATGGGTGCCCTTTCCCGCAAAATGGTTGTTAGAATCCAAAGTTCTTAGAAATACTGAAAGTTCTAATAACACAGAGAAAAAAAAGAGTAAAGAAAAATTAACAATTCTGAAAAAATCTAATTTAATCAGATTTTTATTTCTAAATGCATGATTTTTTTATAAAAGTAAAATCGTGTGCTACACAGTTTTCTAAGATATTACAATTTCGATGTTTTTAGTGTGTAACTAATAAAAAACAACATTTGTTTTTGTATAACAAATGAAAAAAGAAGCAGAAACTAAACCTCTTATTTCATGATACTATCAAGGAGTTTTTATTATTTCATCAGCAAAGTTCATGACTGCAGTGGCGTAGCAAGAGGGGGCACTGGCCCCCGGGCGCAGGTGTGAAGGGGC